GTCATTGGCACAGACAACTTCCTCAGGAAGCTTCCAAGATTCCTCGTGTTGATTTTTTTTCCATTTTCATTGTGCAGCCTGAGTGAAACTGCTGGCATTTGGCGGTCACTCTCCATCACTGTTATTGTTATTTCCTGGTAGCACAGATTTGTTTTCCATCATGTGGAGCTCACAGGCGGTGCCCCTGCTTGGGCAAACCCTGGGCTAACGGGTTCCCCAGGGAAGTACCTCCAGATGCCCAGCATGAAGTTGCTCTTGGATTTTGTGCACATGTCAACACGTCCCAGCAAAGCATTAGCACACACTGTACGTTTCACTAAACTGTTGCCTACATGTCAAATAAATCATTAATCCTGATGTTTTCATGCCACAGAAAGGGAATAGCAGGCTGCGAAGCTCTGCAGTAGTCTTGTCCTTAAACTTTGTCTGTACTACACTCACAAGTTAAATGATATTTAAATACAAAACGTACTGGAAAGATCATTTCCACTGCTCACTGTAAATAAAGATGGACTACATTATTAATCATATAACCAATGCTGAACTATAATCCAAGTCCACAAAGACAGCAAAACCGTATTAGCACTTCATAAACTTAAATACTGTTCTTAGTCTGTTTAGGCTAGCATTGTTTCAGTTCTTCAAGCCTTCAAGTCCTTATTAAGAAAAGCTTCTTTATTCACAGTAAGTTGCTAGATTGTGTGCTCTTCAGATAATGTTCTGGAAATCAAGGTTGTTACACGAGAACCAGAAGACTGCAGCTAACTAGATGATTTATGTCATCATAAATGGGGTTCCCAAATAATTTTTACCCTATTTTCAAACAAAACATAAGGATCACCATCTTCCTAGACAGAAAACACAACCTCCTCCTCTTTCAAACCTGCAATGACATTCTTCAGCTTCTCGTAGAAGTCAGTGACACTGTATGTGCTCTCTTCCTTGCCCTAAGCAGTTGATTAGAAATTAGCTTCAAAACACTGCTAGTTGGTTATGCATTCACAGATTTCTACAGAGGAGGGTTTTAAACTTTAATTTTGTGGGTTTCTCATACTAATATATATTAATAGCTTACTGAGAACCTAAGATATTTTCCAGACAAGTGTTGCAAAGGATAATAAACCTTGTAAAAGTGACAGGAGCAAGGAAAGCGAAAGCCAAACTATGCCTTCTTCTCACTCCAGGAGACTAAAAGAAAGAATGCCTCTAGAGCTGGCAGGTTTTGTTTTTTTTTCTTTGAATAAGACCTTTGCCTTGGGTAGAGAGAATTGCCTCTAAATAACCCCATGTAAGGACAGAATTATTCCACAGCAAGAAACACTCTATATCCACCTAAGCTTGGACTTCATTCCAAAATCAGCACGCTAACTCCAGAGTTACCGAGCAAAAGCTTTAATCCACATCTCCTTCTTCCACCTTAGCTCTTACACACGGCATCTGAAATACACCAGGAATTTGAGGTTACATTTTTCTGGAGATTTTTGGCTCGATGAATCCTTAAATAATTCATGGCCAGACTGAGCTATAATTAGGCTGAGAGTTTATCCCACCTCTCCATCAGTTAAAGCCTCCACAGTGAGTTAATCAGTAAGTTGCGTGCAGTCAAAGCCTGAGCTTTTATTACCAAAAAAAAAAAAAAACTAAAATCATATCCTTTATCTACCACTAATGAAAATGTAGGGTGTCACTGAAGCGTTGCTCTGTAATGAGGGATTATGCAACTTGAGAGCTACCTCAAAATTGAATGGCTTTACTGCACCACTAGTATGTAGTGATGCCAGGCAGATGCAGACGGGCAGACTTCTTAACCTCCTGCTGAGAAGATTAAACCCTTAACAGAGTGATCTCTTCTCTCCCCTGTCTCCCTCACATTCCCCCATCTCCTAAAATACACCAATGTAGCAAATAAACTCTTAAGAATCTATCTGGAAATGAAATTTGCTTTTCTGGCATTTCTAGTGTAATAAATAGATATACATTTGTAATGTAAAATAAATGTAAAATAAATACATTTCTAATGTAATAAATAGACGAGTCTTTCCATTACACAGAAACAAGTATTTTGTATCTAGCATGTTGGCAAAACCCAACCAGGAAAACAAAATAATCCCCTACCTTCACAAAGGGCCAGTATCTTCATGTTTCCCTTACCAGAGAGCTGTTAAAAATTCCTATGGCACATAAATGTAAAAATCTATATTTACCAAATTTCCCTATCACTTGGAAAAATCAGCAAGGTCATTCAGTCAAGGGATTTTATTTTTGTCTAGAATCAACTGCTCTATATGACTTTGCTGCCAAATATAGAAACATCATCACTCCATATATAAAGGCAACATTTTCAAAGAATGTGCTTTTATGGGGAAAATATTCTCTTTTCCTCCTCAAAAGTCTTTTCAAATTTGTATTCTAACGATCCAAGAAACATCAGACAGGAAAAGGAAAACCAGACCACATTCTGGACTGAACTATACATACTTTAACTCCACTAACTTCAGCGGTTTTTGAGAAATCACTGCAGAATTTTAGCCAAAAATCTTCTTTCACCTAGGGAACAATAGGATGGTTTAGTAACCCTCATTAAGCTATTCACTGTATTTGACTGCCTCCATTTAAAACAACAATCAACAAATTCTGTTGTTCTAAAATAAGACCTGTCTACAGCAACACGGGCAACTCTTTCAGAAACTATGAGCAAGCATCTGATTAGGATGACAAGCCACATGGAAACTACTTCCAGTATGAGCCTTAAAGGGCACTGTTACCAACCAAATTTGGCAGGCGAGGAATCGTGACGAGCTGCAAAGGCATGCAGCCGTGCAATAAAAAGTTGGGAATCATCAGCAAATAAAGACTGCGAGCCCTCGTGTCAGCTCCGCGATGACAGGAACACAAACAAGGCAAATTCTAAGCATTAAACACTGGCTTCAAGATAAAAGGCACCTCGCCATAGTTGGAGTGGATCCCGGTCTTCCATCTACAGACTGCTTGTCATAAACAGGCTGTATCAGTACAGCAAAATATCTGTTTATGGCAGACATCTCATTTTGATGCTTTTCAAAATGGAATACTTTTATTATTATTATTATAAAAATAAGAAGCTTAAAAAGAAAGAACTGAAAGCATGGCGCACATAAGGCTCTACGCGTAAGACTATATAGAAGCTTAGAAATCTTACAATATTCAGTGTTTGTTACTGGATAAGAGCAGATATCCAACATCATCTATAGAGGTCCATCATTAGATTTTATAGTGTCAGTACGCAGCTACCCCTCGTATAAGATCATTGTGTCTTCAGACAGCCTTTGAGGTGACAAGTTACAGCATCAGCTCAAGCAGAAGAGGCAACATTTGAGGTAAATTTGTTATATAATACAGGGACCTTAACTTAGGTCTCATTTCCATCTCCAGGAAGATTAAGATGCACGACATTAAGTGGAAGAGGGTAAGAAATAAATTATATTTTAGCTTTTGCATCTACTGTATTTATTAGCGGCGTAAATACAAACAGCAAATGAGCGAGCTAACTGCTCCCAGAGATCCAGCACCACATTCTGAGAGCATATATCAAGTCTAAGCCCTACTTCTGCCCAAAACAAAGTTTTTTTTTCTTTCTTTTTCAAGAAGATGAGCCTAACAGAACTGAGCTTGTACTTGGCTGATTAGGAACCACTGCCTCAAGTCGAGCGTTTTGTCCTACGTTACAGCAAATATTTGCGGTGTTTCTAGGGCTTGAGAGGATGCTGCAGCATCTAGAGGCATCTAAAACCGATGGTCTTCATTCTCGAGATACAGCGGCGCCAAAAAAATAATAAAAAGTAAAAAATAATAAAAGTAAAAAATAATGCGAGTAGATGGAAGCAAGCGCGTGAA